CGCAAAGATTGCCGAATTGTCACAGGCATGTGTGATGTGTTGGAGGCCTCACACGCCATCCTCACATCATATGATGGTATTCTCCAACTTATACAACAGTAAAAGGCATCTTATCTAATGGAGCATATCATCTACATATATTTGAAGCTTACATTTGAGAGGCTAAATTTGAATATCTTTACTCACTACTATCTATATTATACTATTACAATATAACTCAAAGAGAGAAGTCGTCCATATTTCAACCCTGAACTAGCCCATTTGTCTAAGAATCAACCATGAGCTTTGAAACTTATCAAAACCCTGAATTATCAAAACCATGCAAGATTCAACCTTGAACCGGTTTTCAAAGACAAAGCCGGTTTTGACCGGTTCACCCGCCTAGTCAGCTGCCACATCAGCGAGCCCCATGCCCAGCCCTGTCTCTCTTCCCATTCCGAGCCGCATCGGGCTCACCAAGCTTGCTGCCGCCACGTACGTGACCCCGACCCATCACCACCCTCTCTGGTGGCCGGCGAACGGCAGTGCCGCCACTCTGCCCTCACACGAGCTGGGCCCTGCTCCCCCACCCCGACCCTGCGGCCTGATGCCGCCACCCCCGGGCATGGATCGGAGCTCCCCCTCTCCTAGTGTCCACCAACGTGCACGGGCTCCTGCCCTGGACTCCCCTCTCCTGCTGGCCACCAATGCGCCAGCGGCTGAATCCATGGAGCCCTGCACCCACCTCTTCCCCTCTATCAACAGCAGCCGGAGCCGGCGTGTTTCCTCTCCGAGAGCGCCATGTGCCCTCCCCAGTGGCCGAGCAACATCAAAAGGGCTGGGTGGGACAGGACGGCCCAGACTAAGGAATTATACACAATACTTCTTCTTTAAGGGCCACTTTTACTCCCAGCCTTCACTGTTTTCTGCTGCCCTGGGCGGGCCAAGGCCCAGTTTTGCCCTAAAGTAACTCTGTCCCTGGCCCTCCCCTGAGGCGGCGATGCCTTCAGCCCCAGCAGCGACGTGCGCCTCGCCATGCTCCAGTCCCGTCCTCTTAGCTTCCTCTACCGGCCGTGGGCTCATCATGCCAAGTGTGCGCGCCGTTGCAATTCGCTTGGTGCTCACCGTGCTCGTCCACCGCACCCAGTCCGATGCTCGTGAGCCTGCTGAGCACGACATAGGTGAAGGGCGAAGGGCTGCTGGGTCTAGATGGCCGGCTGTGGTTCCGCGCCGCCGCCCTCCACTCACCGGCGGCGCAGGGGTATATGGCCCTTCGGGCCTGGCGGCGTCAGGTCAACTGCTATTGCGAGCTGGGAGAGAATGGGCAGCGGGTGACAAGCATCTGGTAGGGTGGAGGGAGAAGCGGCGGCGGCTCGGGATGCTGGCGTCCCAAGTGGCGGCGGCTGGGCTGTGTGAGAGACGCTGCTCAGGGTGAGAGACTGAACAAAGAGAGACTAGGTTTAGATGCCTGGTTGACGTGGCGGCTGAGTTGGTTGCTGACTAGGCGGTCAACTCTTCAAAACCGGCCAAAACAGCCACGAAAACTGGTTTGAGGAGAGGAGGGTTGATATTTGTCCAATTTTGAGAGTTTGGGGTTGTAAAGTAGACGGTTTTGAAGTTCAGGTTGTTTCTTAGACTTTGGTGACAATTCAGGGTTGAAATATGGACTTCTCTTCTAACTTAAATATTGCAATATAAATGAACATGTATTAAGTAGCACAAGCAGAACAAGTAACTACTAAAATTACCTGGTTTGATACTCAAGAACTCCCTGCAAATTCTCTGCCAGTTCCCATTCCTGGCACAAACAATCTCAAATTACAGCTGGAGTTTCTTCTTGTGGATGGATAAGAAAATAAACAAACTAAAAACATACCTGCACAGGCTGCATGTTTTGAGCATCAGAAAAGTCAATACCTTCTCTATTGATAAATCTGTGACAAGTCGACATTCTTTATAAATTTCATGCTATTATGGTTCAAGAAGAAAACACTGGGTAAGTCATGAAAGAGAGAAGCCAGAATTCTAAAACTTACGCTCTCATTCTTGAAGGACTTGTTCCATCAGCACCACCAACAACAGCGATGCTCTTGATCTTCACATCTGAGGTAAATCTACAAGAAAAAGGAACAAATGAAACATGTTAACGATTGCTGATAGGAATTGCAAGCAGAAACGAGAGAATAAGCATGTCTTAGCTATTAACACAAGCATAAAAATGATATATCCCAGTATAGTCGAGTATAAAGTAACACAAACCAAATGTAATATATATGGATCGTGAACTCATTGCAAATAAAGACAGAGGCAGAAGTACAGAATAAAACACGGATAACTTGCTTTGTCTGAAGGGGAGCCTTGGCGCAGTGGTAAAGCTGCTGCCTTGTGACCATGAGGTCATGGGTTCAAGTCCTGGAAACAGCCTCTTACAGAAATGTAGGGAAAGGCTGCGTACTATAGACCCAAAGTGGTCGGACCCTTCCCTGGACCCTGCGCAAGCGGGAGCTACATGCACCAGGTTGCCCTTTTTTATAACTTGCTTTGTCTACATACAACCCTTGATGAAGCATTCCGACTCAGGATACACAAACAAAGCCTTTTGTCCCAAGCAAATTGGGGTAGGCTAGTGATGAAACCTAACAGAAAACTGTGAGAACCCAAAAGAGAAGAGAGGAAGTACAAGTAAACAAAATAAATCGAGATTCTGGTATATGGTTTGCTGATTTCCATGCAGTCTTGTCAAGAGCCAAATCCCTAGGTACATTCCAATCCTCAAGTCTCTTTTTACTGCCTTTCTCCCATGTGAAATTTGGTCGCCCCCTACCTCTCCTAGTATTTTGGCTACTCTTAAGAATACCACTATTTACTGGTGCTTCTGAAGGCTCCGTTGGATATGTCCAAACCACCTTGGCCGGTGTTGGACAAGCTTCTCTTCAATAGGTCCCTACCTCATCTCGTATTCCCTCATTCCTAATTTGGTCCTTTATTGTATGGCCACCCATCCACCTTAGCAAGCGCATCTCAGTGGCACTCATTTCTTAGATGTGTTGCCTCTTAGTAGGCCAACACTCTGCTCCATATAGCATTGCAGGTCTGATTGCAGTCCTATAGAACTTACCCTTTAGCTTATGTGGGACCTTCTTGTCACAGAGGATGTCAGATGCTTCCCACCACTTCATCCGCTCCGCTTTGATTCGGTGGCTAACATCCTCATCAATACCACCATTGCTTTGGAGCATTGATCCCAACTCCCAAGTATAGAACGGTGTCCCTCTTCGGCACTATATGCCCCTCGAAACTAACTTCTCCCTTCTCCCTCCTCGCACCTAACAGCACTAAAATCACAAGTCATGTACTCGGTCTTGGTCCTACTAAGCCTAAACCCCTTGGACTCTGAAGTTTGTCGCCACAACTCTAATGTCCTATTGACACCCAACCTACTTTCGTCAACTAGGACCACATCATCAGCAAAGACCACACACCAAGGCACTGTTTGGATATTGGCAATGAGGCCCAGAATTAAACATTGGCATTTGGGCAGCCCGAATTTTGTTGTTTGGAACAGTACTCAGACTCGGAAAGACTTGGAATTGAAGCGTGATATTGAACAGCCCGCTGTCCCCACCCGCCTCACTTGTAACACACCAGCCACTCCCGCACTGGCAGTAGTTACTCCTAACTATCCTATAGGCTCTAGACTGACCCACAAACCAACACAAGTCTTTCCGGCACACTGTCCTCACTCGTGCGCACCCTGAGAAACTTCCTGGTCGTTCACACATCCCCAAACTGCTCCAAGCCAAGCACGCTTAACCAAGCGGTTCTTTTGAGATGAGCTTCCAAAAAAGAAGATGCACCTTATTGGTATGGGTCGTACTATCAATCCTATTAAACTAGGATGTCACATCACTTTGCCCGAATTCGGAACTTCACCCACTGACTTTGTGGCAAGTTCGACAACGCTCACCCCTAGTCTCCACTTACCCCTTTGAGGAGCGGTCCTGGAAAAAGAAAAATGCCACGCGTAGGAGAGGGACAGCAGCACGAAGCGGGAAGACAATCATCCCATATCTCAGACGCGGCGCGCGTGCGCCCAACCGCCTATCGCTCATGCTTTCAATCCCCTCAGCAGCAGCTGTTTGTTGCCTCCCATGGCGACGGATGCCGCTTCCCCCCATGGCTGCCCCTGCCTGTCTGCGAGCCCTCCACGAGCCGAGACTGGCTAGAGGACCACGGCGGCAGCCCCCTCCCACCCCATTCACATGTGCGCGTGGAGCGGATCGTGATTGTGCTGCCCATCCTCACCACGCTCGCGGGGGGCGCGCTTGCCGCATCACTCCTCGTGTTCGTGCTTGTGGCGCATGGGGCTGTGCAGGCCGTCATGGGGGTCGATTCCGGCAGGGAAACGAAAGTTAAAAGGCTAATTGGTTTCATGCCAACATTTGGCACTGCGAATACTTGGCAAGCCAACAATTGGCAATATCAAAAGTAGCCAAAAATTGGCAACTCTTGTGAGGTTGGCAAGTGAAATTGGTAACTAACCAAGCACTAGCCAATATTTTGGCATTTGCCAAATGTTGTCATGCCAATTTTTGGCATCAAACCAATCATGCTCTAAATTTGCATGGAGGAGAGAGCATGCTTGTGACGCCCCAAGACCGGAGCTTCAGATGCCTTCCTTTTATCTCGTTGTCGTTGTGTGTCTGAACTGTTTGTTGCCATGATCGGATGAGTGTCATTGTCATATTTTGCTTCTTGCATCATGTTCATCATTTGGTTATATTGCATTGCCATGCCCATCATTGTCATGTGCATTTGTGCCTCTTGTATTTTTTTGCGTTCTCATAATCATCATGTGCATTGTCATATTCATGCATGTCACATTGTTGGATGCTCCATGTATGATCATGCATCATCACCTCCTCATTCCTTCTTCTTTCTTTCATTTTGGCAAGTGACCTTTTCCCCTCCTCGAGAAATGTTCTTTCTTTTCCTGATGCTAGTTCACCATGCCTAAACCCTCTCTGTCAAATTTCAGATCATTTGGAGTTGTTTTGGTTGGGTTCAAAAATGGTTCAAGTTTGAATTTTAATTCAAACTTGAATTATTTTTCTGTCCTTAAAAATTCCCAAACCACTTTTATTAAATCGGGCATATTTCTTGGTTTCCAGAAATATGTCCCTCTCTCCTCACATCCATTCCAAACCCTCTGTACTTTCTTTCTATTTATGTTTATGCGATAAATAGAAAAGAGAAAAATCAGAGTAGAGAGGGAGAGAAGAAGCCCAGCAACCACATGCCACTAGGCCAGGCCGGCCCACCAAACCCCCTTGAGGCCCATCCCTTTCTAACCCTAGCGTGATTTGGCCCGATCCTCATCTCCCCTCGACCCCTCCTCCTCGTTCCTCCTCCCGCCGCCTCGCGCACCTTCACGCATCGCCAGAGAGAGGGAGCAGTGCCCCGCACCCGATTCCCATCTCTCTTCCTCCCAGCGCCCTCCTCTCGCCCTCTCCCTTGCACCAGTCGCCCTCAGCAGCCTCCTCCCTTCTCCTCCCCGCGCCTTCTCGAGCGTCATGGCCGCCGCCCGCTTCCTGCAGCCGCTGCAGCCCCTGCCGACAACCAGCGCCCGCCGTGGCCGTTCCCTCCGCCGCGCCGGGCCTCCCGAGCCGCCACTGGAGGCCAACTCCGACGCCCCTGTCTCACGTCGCCCTCTGCTTCCGTCTACGCCGCGAAGTCGCTGCCCCGCCACTGAGCACGAGCGCTACTGCTCTGCTCCACTCTGCCGCTCCTGCCCGAGTCCAGGCCGCCGCTGCGACCTCCTCTGCTCCCCCTCCGTTAGCTCCCCTGCGGGGCTCCTCTTCCATTCGCGCCGTCTTTGTCCAGCGCCAGGAGCTCGACCTTGAGCCTCTCCACGCGCGTCCGGCACCCCTGCTTCCTCCTACGTCGCCCCTGCCTCGTTGCCTGCTTGCCTCTGTGCCCCTCCATGGACCCCGAGCATCGCCGTCGTGCGTTGCATGCCACTGAAGCTCTCGCTGCCGTCGTGCACCACCGCTGGCCCTGTTGTCGTTGTCAAGACCCTCCAAATCAGGGAGTACCATGGCCGCCGCCGAGACACTTGGATTCACCAAGTTCGGCAAGTACCACGACTTACGGCACACGAACGACCACCGCTCCGAACGCCAAAGTACAGAATGACCCGCGAAGCCCCTGGACGCCATGTACCACTACAACCGTTGCGTTCCGTTTCGTCTTTGTCAAGTACCCATGGACGCCAAGTACCACGATGTCGGTGCCCCTCAAGTTCGGCTACACAAAAACGCCAAGTACCCCTTCATGTCGACAAGACCCGCAAGTCGGACCCCGAACGATCGACGACTCGTGGACCCTGTACAACTACCGTCGCCTTGGGTTTCGTCAAGTTCCTCGCCATGACTATGAACGACTATGAACCGTGTACAACTACCGTCGCCCCGAAGACATTGGATTCAAGTACCTCTCCGAAAACGAAACGTGAACCGCTACTTCCACTACGGCCGTGAACGTCTACTTCCTCTACTTTGCACCGAACCCGAACCGTCTCGTTTGCACGCTTCGAAGGTATAACCCCGAGACGACGTCCGTGAACGAATGCTTGCGATGTTTGAGATGCTCGTGTTTGCACCGTGTCCGTAGTGTCTCTCGCTTCCATGCCATCTACTCATGGGACACCCGGTATCCGGGAGCGCCCCACCATCTTTTGCACGCAACCGCACACTTCTCCTTTGCATCGGTATCTCAATCGAATTACCGGAACCAGAATGTTGCCGTGGCACCATTTCCGTTGTCGTGACCGTGGCACCCCTTTTCGTTTCCGCCACGATGACAAATGCTTCATAATATGCTCATGTCAACATTTTTATAAAATTTGCACATGTCATCCACATCATGATAATAACATTTAATATGTTTAAATTGTTGTTGCTTTAAATTGCTAATGCATATGGGGATTTACTGGAATTGTTGGTTGATGTTTCCGGCCCCATTTAAATTGTCTGGATAGGTAGTTTTTCATATGCTTCACCTCTTGTCATGTTAACCAACATTTAATATTATTGAGTACCTAACCGGGAGTGAA